CACTTTTCCAAATTCTGGTGTCTCAGGTACTTTTGTCCCAAGTTTTGGGGATCTTAATCAATTGCCTACGAAAGATGGCTCAGTTTCTCCGCACGAGCCCCTCTCGTGCGGCTGGGCGCAATCTGGAATATAAAAATTCCTGTGGTCAGGTGGACCCGGTTCTCCGTAGTTACGAGTCTGGCGCTTTACAATAAGACCACACTGCGCCTCTGGCTGAGGGACAAACCAAAAACATTTTTTTCCGAGGATATATCCAAGTCTTAGAAACGCTGGGATAAGTGCGTTAAAAAGCAAGGGAACTATGTTAAAAAATGATATAATTGTACATTCTTTGCTGTGTTGTTCTAATACATTATAGATTGCGGATAATTATTGACCGTCCTTCGTATTTTAAAAATTCAATTTTTACAAAACTCCGATGCTCTTTAACGAGGATTTGTACGTTTTTTAATAGATTTAACAATTAATATTTCTCCGGTATTAAATAATTTAATTCTATGTTAAATTTTGCTCTACAATATTTTCCGCTTACAAAACGGCAAATATTTTATTGATTAACAGTCGCAATTTTTAAATTATTATAAAATTATCATAAGTCTTTATTGTCATTTTAATTTTATAATAATGCAAATAATTAATTCCACAGAATCGAATGACCAGTATGCAGCCTCGTATTTAAAAACTGGCAGCACACGCGGTGTTATGTACCAGATGAAGCTCCTAACTTGGATCACATGGAAGCTCATGTGCAAGAACAACGCAAGTATCGGTAATTGGTGGCTGGCCACGGAGGTGTGCGATGCGCGCGGATTTCACGATCTCGTCTTGAAATACTCCCCTGATGGTACGTCAAATGGAGACGGAGGCACCTCTGATGGAAAATACATGTATCGTTTCATGCAAATCAAGCACAAGAGGTCCTTGGAAAAGAACGCCAATATCACTAGTTATCATTTGACATCCAAGCATAAGTTACATCGTCAGGGCAGTCTGATTTACCTGTTTAAAGCCTACGTAAATATGCTCGGCAACTTCGAGAAGATCACGCCCGATCAAATCGTGGACTTGACGATCTTCACGAATATGGATATTAATGCATTTAAATTCCTGGTGCCTGTGGAGGGCGACAAGCTCTACGGATTCGAGGGAAAAGGCAAGAGATATCGCATTGACATAAAAGTCTTGAAGAAGGAGCCAGGAATAATGATATGCCTGTACCACATTATGCCGGACGACAACATCATATTTGGGTTCCTGAGGAAACTGGTGTTCGCGGTGTGTCAACCCTCCGAGCCCGAGTTGGAGGAACTGATCGTGAAGGAGATGGGCAAGACCTTCAACGTACCGCAAATCTTCTACGATAACTTATATAAGAATATAATCAATTGGTTTCTCGTTTACGACAACGGCAAGGCGCCGTATCTCACCGAGAACCACGTAATGAAGTACCTGAAGGACACGCAGGATATGCTGTGGGAAGCGAAGAAGACCGAAATGCTTGTCGATCCAGTTTCGAAGATTGCTGATAAATTAAAAGTGTTGTCTTTGTAAAGAGATGGAGTTCACTCTTTGTAATCTTTTGTTCCTTTGAAACAATATCCTTTGAAACAAAGTATAGTGTCTTTTTCTATCTATTAAAAGAAAGTGATATGAGTTTTTTTTTATTTTGTATTTTTCGCATGATATATGAGCGAATATATCTTCTATCTAAGTTTCACATTAGAAAGATTATGTTATTTAAAATGAAATAAAATTATATAAAATGATATAAAATGACATAAAATGATATAAGATTATTTTATAATACCTATCTGTTCATAATGTCAAGTCTAAAGTTTTAGAGAGAACAATATGAGTAATACTTGATCGACTCTTTAATTTAAATTTTAAAATGCAATTATATAGTACAGATATACTGTGTCATGTCGGCAATATATAATGGAATAGTAAATTGGTACATCTATTAGATATCTATTCGATTAGATGTTGATTTTCGCTGAGTAGATATCGTGTATATCATCGTATAAAAAAATTATTATTAATTCTGACAATGCTAATTTAAACCGTAAGAACTATAAAAGATAATATTGGTAACACATAAATTACTTCACTTAACTTTTTTCTTATCGTAGTTTTAGTTATTGACGTAAATCTTTTGGAATTAAATAACTTAATTGTTAAACCACGAAAGGAATTGCAAAACATTTACTTTAAGAATTTATATGTCGAAAATCTAAAAATTTTTGTTTGTAGATTACTTTAAAGGAGTTCGATAAGGATTGTTTAATCCTTTAATAATGAAAAGGCGCAAGGAAAAATAAAAGCCTGCACACACATTGGTTCCATTGCATATCGTTTATTATTATTCCTGATTTAAATTAGAGAATATAACTTATTCATGTACACGTGCGCTACAATGATTACTTGGTATCATAATTTTCACGACAGTCGGGGAAGGAGAAAATGTCACTCGAGGGGTTTCAAACGGACTCGGTCGCTTCGATAAATATAACTTTCCTTCGTTCGCCTACAGCATACGTATGCGCAAAGAAGCCTTAATTAACGTGTCTGCGCGTGGTGTGTCTATCGCAGGATATCTGTAAATTCGGCCCGTTTGCGAAGCTTGGGTCTTTTCTTCACGAAACTGCAGACTGCGACGCTTCGTAAAGAGACTGGACCTTTCCTTTTTTGTATGGACGGGGGCTGAATCTGTAAACATCCTACGACAAAGACATCGCAAGGGGATGCGCCAGGAAGAGATCAAGAACGATGTTGTTGGACGTTATTCCCAGCCTCGGTTTCGAACTTGGCTAAAACGTATTACAGCCATGTACAATCGTCTCCGTTATAAAATAATAAATATCGTATATCTACGAATATATGTGTGTATGTACGTGTGTATGTGTGAAGACAGGGGCAGAGGAGGAGATCGAAGAGGAAATGTGATGTAAGTAGAGACGATACGAGACTGCGTAAAAGCACAAACGAACAACAAAGATGGGGGTGGACAGGGGAGTGTGAAGGAATAGGAAATACAAATCGTTTCCCTTTGGCCTAGTTAAATCTGTTGTCTAACTCTCATTTCTCGCTAATCTAATCTAATCTAAGTATCTATACCTATGTCAATAGTTTTAATCATTTGGTATAATTGCATCTGCGAAAGATAACAGGGCTATCTATGTACACTAAGATCCATAACACACACACGACGAGACGTTGTCAAATTTAATTGATTGGTAGTGATATAAACTTCACTATATATATATTGCTCCGCGCGCTTTCACATATCCGTTCTGTGTGAAGATTGCATCTCGTCTCGCTCGCGAAAAGTCTCGTCGAAAAGAACAATAATACAAGATCAATGCGATTGGTATACGTATAGCCATTTGCGATCCGCGATCCTTGAACGAGCGAGTTCCCTTACCACTGGCGCGCAAGATCGATCTCGAGATCTTCGCGCGAAAGTCACGGTCAGAAACGCGGTCCCACGGGACATCCCGAATCGCGTTCGCCAAATACATCACGGCGGTCTAACGACTAAGTGCTAGTCACATTCACACCCTAAATTAAAGTTTTTTTTCTCACTCTCATAGAAGTATATAACTAATAATAAATAAGATCCTAGTGCGTATGGCTAACTTAGAATAATTCATTGCGTAAAATGAATTCATCTTTGGATTTAAATGCAGCATCCGCGTCGCAAAGAACGCGACGTCCATTCGCAAGTCCAGCCTCCTTTCACGAGAGAGCCTGGTTTTCTTTTCTCTTTTTCTTTTTCCTTTTTTTTCCCTCGACTCTTCATACTCGAACTTCACTCATATTCCGCCGTAATTATGAATGAGATTGTTGAGGATCCGCGATCGCGATCGTACGCCTAATACTGCGCGTGAGATGAATACAAACAACATATATAGATACGCGTTATCTCACGATTCCATAATGCACATTTCATGACGTCGCTGATAATAATGCATTTGATAACTGCTTTTAACGCGCTCGGGGCGAAATCATGATGCATCCGCGAACAATATGGTCGTAATCACATCAAATCTTAAATATATATACTCAGATTGTTACAATCCCCAGAGGATATATATAAATATGTATATATAATATGTACACACACAAAACACACACAATAGGCGAGGGTCACGAAGAACGCGTTTCTCGTAACGAAGGCTCGAGGCATCACGAAGGAATTTATGTCAGAAGCGTGAATGATTTAGATGCGTTGATAAAAGAGGAAGATGCACCATGTTACGTTTCTTTCTTTTTTTTTCTTAAATCATGTTTTATTGGCGATTGAACTGACAAATGGAATACACAGCGCGTGTACTTTTTAATAATAAAGAAAATGTACGTCATGATAGCAAATAATATACTTCGCCGTAGCTCACGGCGAATGCCTATGCAGAAAATAGGCGAATCGCGAGATGAATCGAAAGGAACTTGTTGAAACTGCGTCCTTAAACTTCTACAAAATCAGGGATTGACTTTAAGAACGAGTGCTTCTATTTTTTTTATATTTTTATACATTAAAGTTGTATCCTATTGTACAAAATTAAAATTGTAAAAAAAAAGTAAGATTTAATTGAGAACGTTAGTTCAAAGTAATAAAAATTGATTTGCGTAAGATGAGTTTCCTATCGATTCATTCGCATCATCCACTTTCCGCGATGTAAGCAAACTCGTTGACAATCCCTGTGTGTGTTCTCGTTAAGAACCGTAAAATTTCATATCGTATGCGGCATATAATGACACTCCGGCTACTGCTCGCATCAGATTTCATCAGATAAACTTCGAAACACTATTGGTGTTTTATATAATACGAACACGTGCACGCAAATTGATAAAGAGTATAAGGCACGATCGTGAACCTTAAACAGAGAATCGAAGAATCCGATGAATAATCTAAAGGCATCTTCTGTGCTCTCTCTCTCTCTTAAGAACGAATAGGAGAAAGTGGCATGCGATCAGACGATGACGATACCCTCGATCCTCTAATGATCTTTCAAACACGTTATGACACAAAAGCAGAAACTACAATTCCGCTTGTTTGTCTATTCTTAATTTGCCAATATTAAGAGATGCCAATATTAGTCGATTAATATCAATTAACATCCCGAGTTTCGTGCTTGACGTTTAACTACTCCCAATCCAATCTATAACTGTTTTCACGTAATTTACGTGTCTGATCGCGTTCCGCTTCTCTTTGCCTTTCTACGCGATTGATCGCCCGATCATTCGCTATGGTTGACCCCCAACAACTTTGCCGCGTCGTCCGCCGAGCTCAAGAGAACCTTGTCGAGCAAACCTTTCTCGCGTATCCCCAGCAAATTGGAGATCAGGTCGTTGTCCCCGCTTTCGCTGGGTACTTCCGCGGGAGGCGGGGGAGAAGACAAGGAGGCTGAAGCGGCGCCCTGAGGACCGTCGTTTGCCATTCTTCCGCTGAGAGTGGCCATGTTGTCGTAGTGATTGTACCGCATCAGGGCGCAGGGCGCCGCGTCCGCCGTTGCGACCGCCGCGACGGTCGGCAGGGAGATTCTGTCCTGGGTGCGGGGCCTGCTGGTGTTGGTGGAGATCGGCGAGTGCTGCTGACTCCTGGGGGTTATCGTCGGCGGCTGCGCGGGCGAGTTCTCCTCGTCGCCGCTGTTGCCTATGTACATGGCGGAGTCCACCGACTCATGCTTCTTACGGTGACGTAGCATGCTGTGCTTGAGCGTGAACTTCCTGGTGCAGATGTCACATTCGAAGGGCCTCTCGCCCGTATGAGTCCTCATATGACGCCGGAGATCCTCCGCGGACCAAAATCGTCTCATGCAGAAAGCGCACACAACCTGGAGGGGGATAAAAAAGTGTCACTCCGATCGTATTATCGAGCAATGCAAACTAACGAAAGCACCAACGAAACGCGTATTCGATATATTGTCCCTATTTATTTATTTATTTTATTTTTTACGCGAACCATGTTTGCACCGATATGCATGATGCTCTTAGAAATCTTTTTAGAATCAGTTCCCTTATACCTTATTACCTTTCTGTTGCTGTAGTCGGGAAAACGGCCTTTCTTCTCTTCTCCGTCGCTGGGATGCTGCAGCGACGCTAATATCTGATCCTCGGTCGCGTCTATGATCGTGGCCGCCATGTCGAGGGCGCCCTTGGCCTTCAGCATCTCGTACGAGCGCTTGTGATTCATCTTGATGTGGTCCAAGCACTCCTGGCGTTCCGAGAAGCCGCTGTCGCATAGGTAACATTTGAAGGGTACGTCGCCGGGACTCGGCGATAATCTTGGTGATTTGCGCAACCTGGTGGCGTCGTTTATCGAGAGGGACGCGTTAGAAGTCGGCTTCGCGGCTTCGCGGACGACGGACGAGGTGTTCTCCATGTTGTCGGACATGCTTGATGAGCGACTCTCGTAATCGCTCTGGTCGTTCTGCGCGGCGCACTGCGGCGGGCTGTTCTGCTGATCGCTGGACTCTGATCTGGACGCGAACTTGCGGTGCTTGCTCGACCGGTGCTTCTTCAGGTTGCCCAACGTGGCGAACGTCGAGCTCGGGCACTGATGGCATTTAAACGGCCTCTCGGGCACGTTCCTCATGGAGAACGTGTTGCTGCCGTTGCTACTGCTGCTGCTGCTGGCGACCACCTGAGCGTCAGGCGAAGACGAGTTCCTGGCACGGCGCATCTTGCTCGCCTTCGCCTTGTGCTTCCTCAGCAAGTGGCGATCGCAGTTGGACTTGGTGGTGAAGTGATGCGAGCAGTGGATGCACTGATACGGCTTCTGGCCGGTGTGGGTGAGGATGTGTCGTCTCAGCGACGAGGTCCACGGGAATTGGCGCTCGCAATACGGACATACGACACGATTCGGCGCCATCGAATATGCAGACTTCTTCTTCTTTTTCTTCTTCTTGTTCGAGGAGGAATCGTTCCCAGAGTTCAAGGAGTTCATGGAGTCGGACTTCTCGCTGCCAGAATTGTTGCCGCTGGTCGACGCAACGGGGCCCTCCTCGTCGCTCAGGTCTTGCGGCTGAAATTGCTGGTATTGCTGTGACGCGTTGTCCAAAAGCTTCGAGACACTCGCGAGATCGGGCGTTCCGTCTTCGAGTTTACCTTGCTCCCTCTCGGCGGATTCGGTCATGGTCGTTTCTTCAGCGCGTATTGATTTGCTTTCAGAAGCGGCAGATTTCTCCGGATTGGCGCTGTCGATGTTACTTCGCGCAGTCTGCTCGCCGGGGGTCTCCTCCGAGGTTTCCTCCGCGGGCTCAGCCGCTTCTGTCTTTATGACGATATCTTTGACACTTTCATTATTTTCCAACTGATCTCTCAGCAAACTCGTGCTAGGCTCACGCTGAGCTTGCGACTCCTGAGCGTCCCGATCGGCCAACTCTTCGTCTATCACCATCTCGTCATCCGAATCATTGTCATCCATTTTATTGACCTTCAGCTGTTGCGCCAGAATCGCGTACTTTACTTGATCCGAGATGGGATGCGTGCCGTAGTCCGTCGACGTGACCACCGGCGTGTCGACGTTCGGAAGAATGCTCGAATATGATTGAGCCACCTGCGAGGTTGACGGACCAGTATTTGGTACCATAGTCGGATGACTCGCGGGTGGTCTGCCTCTGGTCGAATGTCCGCCACGAGGTCTTTGGCTCCAATACTGCGGATGCTGCTGCTTGATGTGCCGTTCCATGTTGCTCCTCAGCGTGAATCTCGCCGTGCAGTGCTCACAGGTGAAAGGTCTCTCGGTTCGGTATCTGCGCTGCTTCTGCTTGGGGATCAGCACTCCGTTCTTGAGTACCATCTTCACGGGATCATTCGACGGGATCCCGTCTGTTTTCTCGCGGCTCGGCGCGACCTGGTTGGTCATCTGCGCGCTCATCAGATTCGCGTAGGCAGTCTGCTCGCTCGAGGTTTGCAGGGTGTCCCTCGATTGCGAATATGCCGTGTAACTGGTGCTGGGTAGTGACGGATCAACCGAAAGTGTGCCGCCGCCGGTTAACTGCAAACCTCGAACCAGCTCCTTCTGCAGCCTGCCCTTCGCGGCCAATTCCTGGCTGAACATGTGAGGACTGAGGAAGTACGGCGGTATTACACCACTGGTTAATGTGCCAAAATTGCGATAGATAGTATTCGCGTAAAGCGTCTCCAGCGATGTTGTCGGTGAGCTCTCGCGTGCTCTGTTCAACAGGGCTTGCGTCAGCAACAGCGCTGGGTTTGTGGCATACAATTCCTGCTGATTATTCTTAAACCGCTTCTCCTCCTGCAAGCTGGAATCCTCGTTCTCCCTCTTCCGCTTCCTACTCAGATCCAACACATCCATGGACAGATCTAACGGACAGTCCTCCCCCGAGCTCAACCCGGAGCTTGTCGAGGGCTTCGTCAGGTTCATCGGACTAGCTTGAATTCTTTGGTGTGTATCTGTTTTGGTATCACTGACTAGAGACACGCTGCCGTCCGACGAGCCCGACTCGACGTCGTCGTCAATCTTCGAATAATCAGATTTCACGATTAGATCGTGAGACAAATTTGCTTCGTCGGCGCTTTTTTTTACGAGATTGAGAGCCTGCATCTTCACTCTGGCGAACGTGTCTGACTTCTCGTAGTGAGTCATCAGCATCTCAGCGCGGATGTTCGACGGTCCAGGATTACAATCCATCGCTATAGGCGGATAATGTATCTGTTGTTGTTGTTGGGGAGTCTCCTCGCGTTCATTCGGATAAATAAGCGTCTTCCGCACGTCTTCCCTGATGACTCTAGGCGAGCTTCTTTCGATGTTTTCGTTTGTCGAATCCTCGCTCGGATGATAGATAAGTGCGTTCTTAACGTCCTCCTTGCTGATCATCCCGTGACGATTCTTCACGTGCCTCTCGCAATTTGCTTTGGTAGTGAACGCATAATTGCAGAGAGAGCACTCAAACGGACGGTCGCCGTTATGTGATCTTAGATGCTTCATCAGGGCCCCCTTGTCGGCGATCGTGAACGGACACATATTGCACGGATACGGCATACCCGGTTCCACGTTCATATGCGCGCGATTGTGTCCCTTCAACGCTCGCAAATTGGGAAATACGGATGTACATAATCTGCATGGAAATTCGCCCTTCAGCTTCATTTTCCGGAATTCCGCAGTGAAGGCGTCCTGCGCTTCCTCTTCGTTGAACTCGGACGAACAGGTGCCCGACGAGCCTGAAGAGCCAACGTTCGGATGGAACTTGATGTTGTTCTCGGGCGTGCTTGCATCCGACCGAGGAAAGGTCTGCAGTCCATTCAAACTGACAGACAGGATGCTCGGGATATCCGCTAGATCCTTGGTCTCTTTCAGCTCCCTGATCTCGCTCGATTCCCGTGGATCCTTCATTTCATGCGCCAAGGACTTGTTCTGCAGATCCAGCACAGCGAAGAAAATCTCGCGCTTCGTCTTGGAGTCGTCGGGCTGCGGGCTCGGATCATCACGCTCTGTTTCGAGATTATTGTTGGTACTGATGTCGTTGTTATTGTTGTTGTCGTTGCTGTTTCTCTTGTTCTTGTAGGGGCCTTTACACTCCTTTTCGTGGGCCTGCTGGGCTTGCCTGCAGGGGAACGCGTGCAGGCACTTCATACACTGAAACCTGTTGGCCTCGCCGGAGGCCGGCCGGTGCAGCTCACGCTCGCACATCGCCCGAGCGATCGTCGGGAACTTGATGGACGAGAAGTCGATGAACGTCAGATCCCTGAAACCGTCTACGGTGTTGTTTTTGCTACGACTGTTGTTGCCCTCCGGATTCTTTTTGTAGTGTCTCATCAAACGATGGAGATTCAGCGCGCGATGATTCTTGAACGACTGATTGCAGGTCTCGCACGTGGCCGGGGAGCCTGGATGCATGCGCTCCATATGTGACTCCAGAATCGCGCTGCTCGCGAAGTCCTGACCGCAGATCGGACAGCCGAAGGCCTTCTGCTCATCCTCCGGTCGACACCTAATCGTCATCTTGGTATTGTTCAGAAGAATCTTGTGCCTCCTCTGATCTTCCATGTCGCTGACGTCCTCGTCCGGGCATTTTCGCTTGTTCGCGCGGTTGCTGGGCGACGGTTGCTGTCGATCGTCGATCAGCTCTGGCGAGTTGCGCCTGGTTATCTCGTTGTTATTGTACTCGTCCTGGCTCGTCGCCGCCGGTCTTTCCGAGCCGCTGCTGCCCTCGGAATCCGTGCAGCTGTTCGGCGACACTATCCGATGAGTGCACCTCACGTGCCGGTTCATGTTGCCGTTCGTCGTAAACGACATCTCGCAGTACTTGCACTTGAACGGCCGCTCGCCGGAATGTACCAGCACGTGCCGGTCCAGCGAGCTCGCCGAACTGAGCACTTTATTGCATACGCCGCAGCTGTAGTCCTCCTCGCCGCTGCAGTCCGTGCTGCGAGGTGAATTGTGGCCGCGTAGATGATTCGTCAGTTCGTGGGAACTGGAAAACACCGACGGACACGTCGGGCATGGATGCGCGCCGTTTTCCGACAGCTCAACCTACATTTTCGGGGAAAAATATACGATATTAAACATACATACAGTACACTGTCACCTACAATCGCAATTTCGTTAACAGTGCGAAAATAATTCGCGTTGATAATTTGTCTTTAATTCTGATATAACGTTAAGTAATAGTAACTTCTAATTAACGAGTTATTCTAATTCATTAACTGATTTCACTAAACTCTATTAAAATTATTAAGTTTTTTAAATTAAAGTTATGATGTTTTTTTTAATTTATTAGCAATATATCAATTTTTATAAACTTTGTACGTATTGAAATATATGAATATACTTACACTTGATGATGGTGATGCAGCATCAATTTGCGTTTCGTTTTCCTGTTCCTGCAGATCGGGTCCATTCTCGGGTCCAGTCACTGCAACACATAAAATGTAACATTTAGTTTAATGTGTATGTCAGAACATTAAATGTGAAATAATTACACACATCCCACAGATAGCACAGTGACGTCAATAAATGACGTATTAATTCCGTTATAATGCCGTCTTAATGACGTTAGAGACGGCATTATGACGGAATTAATACGTCATTTGACGTCACTGTGCTATCTGGGATATAATTATACACCTACGACATGAAAAATAAATTTCTAGTAAATTATAATTATTAATTAACAATCGTAAATATTAGTTTACTTTTATTAAAATATTTTATTGAAAGTATTTGAACGTGAATCATTGAGGAAATCGAACTTCACGTGTGATTTCATATGGTTCCTCATTCATTTCTCAGACAGAGATTTCAAGAAGACTGGAAATACCCGCAGAGCAAGCGCGACTTCTCTGGACCACAAATCTGCTGACGAAACAGGAAAACCGACATGCTTCGGATATAACGAAAGAGCAGTGAGTTTATGAATTCAAGCTAAAAATAAAAAAAGAACATGCGTGGTGTATGTGAAATTGTCGCAAGAATATAATTCTCTCTAAATAAATTTACATTGCGGTTGCATATAATCAACTGCAGTGTCTTTAATTCGTCGTTTATCTCTGTTCCGTTTATCTTTTTTTTTTCTCTCGAAGTAATGCAGTAGTTTGCATCGATTATTTATACATTTATACAAATAAAGGTTCTGGAAAAAACGTTACAATGCAATAGGCGCATAAAAGAAGTGCAGTAATCGCTACAACTTCTCGAAGAATATTTTCTTCTTATCTATGATCGCAGAATAATCTGTGAAACCACCTGGATCGCGAATATATATGCAACAGCATAAATTAGCGTATCGCAATTTTTCGAGAAGATCACTGAAAACCGTCAGCAACGGCGAGAGAATCACGTTTCGGATCGTAACGTCCTGCCGCTACCAGGAATGGCACAATTCAAATTTCTTCCGCGGTATAGTGATGCAAAATGTGTGTCGGAATATATATCACGCTAACTGATGCGCGCTGGCCTTAAAAACCGCGGATAAACAGGAGCCACCACCGGATCCGCCGGTGTTGCGTCTCCGGTTTAGCCGTACTGGGTAAAGAACTGTGTCAGCGACAGGACAGGACACAAATCTGACTAAGTATTCCGGAAGCTGATACCCAGACCGAACCGCAGATGGAGCCGGGACAATAACACTTATCAACGTCCTCGCCCGACGTTCTGACCGCACTCGCGGCGGTCTTTAGTCTATTTACACGCGTTTGTCGAACGCAGCGAGCATCTTGAGAAACCAGCGATCAGACTGAGGTTTAGAATGCGAGATGAGGTAAAGTCAGGCTGTGAGCTGGTACGCCGAAGGAAACTAATGTTTTAATTGTTTTGATATTCTGCTATCAGAAGAGATCGAAGTTCGTTCAAAGTCAGTCTCGAAAGCAGAATCCTTATTTGGAACACGTAATATAAACTATGAGAAACTATGAGAATCTGCGACTAATCACATATGGCAGGATATTTTTCGGTATTAGTTGCTTCAACGTTTGTTCGTCAATTTTTGGAGGACTGAAACTTATTTACTCTGTAAAACGATAACATTATTTTTGATATGATAGAACAGAACTGTGACAAGATAATTAGGAATTTTCTTAGATAATTAATCGAATCATAATAATAAAATTTAATCATTTTTTATATTCAATTCTATTGCTCTGATAGAAAAATGTCCCGCTAAATTCTAAAATAATCAGGAATCAATTTTGTGATTTTACTTTTTTTGTGATCGTGTTTTATAGCCATAAAACTTCTCAGTACCTAGAAAGTTTGAATTATACCTTTTTCAAAATAAGTGTATTACTTTGAGAAATCATAGTTTCTTAAAAGGTTCGACAAGCTTCCTATTAATAATATGAGATAAATCTTTCGACACTAAAAATTTTTATGTACCTAAATTGCCTTATTCGTAGAATTATCCCAAACAATACGTATATGTCTAAAAAACACATCTTGAAGATATCTTCAAGATTTTCTGAGAAGACGCCTGAAAGAGTTGTTTTAAGACATTTTTGAAAAATGTACAGCTATTTACATTATCAACTATATTATCGATTATACGACATGGTTCACAACGACACAATGAAGACAAAGCTGTTTGGAAACGTGTTAATAAAAGGAAGAATACGAGACACACAGAGTTTGATCAAAAGTTGAGTACCTAATAAATCGGTATATCAATAATTTTACAAAACTTTGTTAACAACAAATCTGATCTCTGTTATAGATAGATTGTTATCAAAATTATGTAAATGTTAAATTATTTATATACCGATTTGTCATACAACGATAGTTCCTCTTTCGTATTTTTCTTCTTGTTAAAATGCGTTTCTGTATTATTAATTTTTATTTTACAATATGTTTAAGTGATTAAAAATAAAACGCCTTTTAAACGTCTTATGTGACGTCTAAAATCAGGATATAAGGCATCTTAAAGACGTCGTAATATTATATGAGATATTTCAAGAACAATGCCTCAGTCTCAAAGATGTATCTCGAAAGCACTGACTTATGCATTTCCTTGAATTTTCAGAGAGAGAAGAGCGAGAGAGAAAGAGAAGAAGAAGAGAAAACAAAACAATAGCACATATTGACTCGATATCGTCTTTCGAAATAAGTAACTAGATTGACTGTTTCGTCACCTTTCATATACAAAATTTCAATCCACTTAAAGAATATCAAAAGTAGCAACTTTCCATGCAAACACAGAGATGAAGCAATTACTTTTTTTTTTTTTTTTTTTGTAAAATCGTAAGATTACGATCAAGCGATTGCCAAAGATATTTGGTAGCTCATAGTAAATATCAAAAGAAATAGATTAAAGAAGTGGAAAGACATCACAAATCTTATAACATCGGTATGTACTTTATTTCGACAGAACATTAAATAAGAAAAGACAATAGTACTAAAAGATAAGATATATGAAAAAAAAATTTTAGTCCATTTTTCGGTAGTCAGGTCTGTTTAGATTTAAATCGAAACTTATAAATGAAAATTATTCTTTTAGAAAGATGCTTTTAGACGGTTTTTAAATTAATAAATACATATAAAATTTTCGAAATTATTAAGAGAGAGAGACAGCTAGTGAATATACAAAATTGAAATCTTTAGAAAACGATCCAATCCGCTACATAATATTTCTAAAAATATTTCCCAGCATCTACATACAAATGCGTCTGTTTACTCTCTCGGGTAATCACGTTTAATGGAACGCTTGTTATCAAATAATGACTGTGCAAAACATACAAATATACATGTGTATCTCATGCAATACTGCATGGATATCATGTTAAGCATAATACTGACACTTTTAATACTCGAAGAATCGCAGTTTGCAATTTTGCATTTGCATTTGTGCGCTTTCCGGAATTATCTCGCTAAATCTCGATATGCATATCTTACAATAGCGCGTTAATTGCTTATAATAGAGAAGAGGTATAATTTTACTCACACGTTATAATTTCAATTGAAACAATAATATATGAATTTTTATGGACTGATATGTTTCGGTTCTATATCAATTTAATGTCATTATCACGATTGCTATAATTATGTTCAAAAAATATAAGCATGTTGAAATTATGTATCGTAGCGCGTATCAGACATATATCATAATTTATCTTCCGTGATACCGTGAACACCTGAATCCCTTTAATATCGCTTATTTACACGTGTTATTCGCCGATTGAACGACCACATAACTGGTCGTCATGTGGTCCCAAACCTGTTCGACGGCCGTCCATATAGCGTAGGTACCTGTCGGCAGGTGAACTTTATTCATGCGCGTAAATCACGCGCGCGCGTGCACATTCTGGTCAAGTGTGGAGAAACGAGTCCGATCAACTTCGTCCTGCGGTTTGACGCGTGCCTGATCGTTAATGACTCTTCACCTCTTGCCACCAGTCCTATAACTACTTTTAATTGAGCAGCCACTCAAGTATACGCGTGTATCGTTAGTATTTTTTTATCATATATCATGTTCGTAAGAAAGTAGCTTCCTGATTTGTAAATCGAAATTTGCCGATGTCTAAAAATAACTATATAAAAATTAACTATTATAATTGCTAACTATTATAATTGCTTTTATAATACTTCAAGTGTGGCTTTGCGATACTAACAATTCAAAAACGCGACCTCCATTGATAGAATATTCTCTATATAATGTTGAATCTGATCATCTGATATCAGAGATGTGAGAACGCATAGCTAAGAGAATAATGTCGCTCGAATCGATGACGAGAAACGCATCGCAAGAATAGAAATCGGTTTCCTTGGTTCATGGAACGTCATAACGATTAGTCTGCCGTCACATCGCGATCGTTAGAAATGGAAAGCACGAGGGGGAAAGATTTCCAATTGCGAAACTCCATACCAAATTTCACCGAGGCAATTCCTCCGTGTTTGAGAAATATTCAGAAAAAAAATTCAGTGTTATTGTAATTAAACAATACAGATTCTGAAAGATCAAAGAGTTATTCGAATCTATTAATACGTTAAATCGATCAGCAAAATGTCCGCTTCTCTCCTTTTGCGTTTGCATCCTTTTTAATGATCAATTATCTTTTACTTATAAAAACGCATTTTGCCATTCTATACAATATCTTGTGAGATAACATAAACATGTATGATAACGTAAAACATCTTCGTGATAGATTTACATAATAAAAAAAAATATATAGAGGTAAAGCAAAACTTTGCGAAGATGGGATCAAACGATTAACTGCGCTTAATTGTTGGGATTAAATACACTTTAAATTGAATAACATGTAGATAACATCACGAATATTTTACACGTGAATTTTCGCTCGAAGATGACGCAAGAAGAAACAATCGTGTCGTTAGTAAAACTGCGATCCGTCACAAATATATGAAAGCAAAATTTGATTTTTATTCTATTGTATTAAACTTTCCATCGTAAAATTCTGTCGAATCTAT